GGACAGCAGAAATCGATATTTTGTTACAAAAAAGTTTTGTGCTCTGACTTCAGAGCATGTTGATCCTTTTTCTGAGCAAGAATCCTGACACTGTCCAAATGTGTTTAACTTTTTTTGGCAGCAATAAACATGACAGTTTACTTATTTTAATTTAAGACATGTTTTATTTTAATTAAGTTTAAAACTTTTTTATTTAATGTAAAATTATATTTTGTTTTAATTTACTTTCAAATTCTTCAGTTGCTGAAGGGGCTGCATAGTTTTCATAAATTGCATAGTTCAGAATAGCTGTAATTGTACCAGATGGTTGCATTCAGTTAAGTTGGACTAGACTGTAATACAAACCGTTCAGTTTGTCAACAATAAAACTGAAATGAGAGAAAGACTGAGTGCGAGACTTTGATATTAGATAAAATGAATATTGATAAAGTTTACCTTTATGTACAGAATCTGAATATCGCAAAATATTTTTAAAAATTGCAATAATATCGTATCGTGCGTTAAGTATTGTGATAATATCGTATCGTGGGATGTATGGTGATTCCCACCTCTAGTCTGTGACCACTCGTCTTTGCAGACCTCATTTCAGCATGAGAGCCTTTTTCACCTGGTGCTGAGCTTCATTTCATTTTCTTGGTTTCGGTCCACAAATTTGCAAAGCAACGCTTTATTTACATTTTATAAAGCATCAACTTTTTTATGACTAGGGTTGTACATATGTGTAGCTTGACTCTCTCCATCCATCTTTATTCACTTATCCAGTTCAGACAGATCGCCAGTCTGTTGCAGGGCTAACACAGACAACCATTCACACCCACATTCCCACCTACAGACAAGTAGGATCGCAGGTTAACTAACTCCACTAGCTGCCCTTTATTTATAAGAGAGCATTTCCAATAAGTCCTGTAAGAAGCCAGAAAACAGCAGAGCAAGGAGAGACAAGGGTGAAGATGAATCGGAAAGAAACACCATAAATTACAATCTGGGTTAAATCCTCAAAACAAAATGTTGCAGTACGTCATTTCATAGTCTGGATAGTGCACTTGCGTGACACACTCTTTCTTTCAGCTCTCTATCTTATGACTCTCTTCCACTTTATCTCTTTGTCTCCCTCTCTCTGGCTTCTTCTCTCTTTGTGTGGAGCCTGCTACAACAGTTTGATTTACTTAAGTGGCTCCATTCTGCCATCAGCCTCAGACAAGGATTCTGTGTGTGTGTGTGTGTGTGTGTGTCTGCTGTGTGTGTGTCTTGATGGTGTGTGTGTGTGTGTTGCGCGCGCAGTTTAAACCCCAGCCACCAGCTACTAGTCTGAGGTTCATTAGCCTGATCAATCATTCAGTCTCGTCTCTTCTCAAATATTTTCTCTCTCTCTCTATTTTTTCTCTGTTTAAATCTAAGTGATTCATTCTTATGTCAAAAAAGTTTTCTGCTGTTGTCCCTGCTTTTCTTCATCACTTCTTTCCGCTGGCATCATCGATTAGGTCTGGTGTTGAGAAGTATTTCGTGCCCTCTCCTTTCTCCATCTCTTTCTTTCAGTGGCTCATTGATTGTTTCTGGTGTTGAGGAGAATTGCCTATTTGGTCCTCAAGTAAAAAGCACTAAGTGTTATTCACGTTCCTCCCCAGCCTTGGTCTGACCTCCCTTTTGCTTTCAGTGTAGACGCTGTCGATAAGATTTGGAGTCATCCCATCATTTGCGGACAAACTTTCCATTTTCTATGTTGCTTTTTCCTGTCTGAGGAGATTTAGGCCGGCTGGTGAAGAACGCTTGTCTGTTGCCCTCTGATGCCAAAATACCAGCGTGTGGAAGAACGATGAGCTGTTAAGTTGCCTTAAAACAAATGGCACTCATTTTTAAACTGTTTCTCTCCTTTTAAAAATGACATTTGAAATGGAGCCCGGTGAAGTGGACACACAGTGTGTTCTTTCTATGTTCTTCACATTGTAAAGATAAGATAAGCCTTCATTAGTCCCACTTGTTAAGGATGATTGTCAGTGTTTTCAGTTGTTATTGAGATTTTTGGTAGTATCAAACTTTAAGTTATTATTCTCACTCCCGAGCTGTAAGATATCCGAGGCGTTCCTGAGGAACATGAAAGGTGACCTTCCACGTTCTTATGCTAGCACCGGGTTATGGATGAAATCCAGTAGAATGAGGCTCCCGTGGTAAAACACGTTCCAGCCCTGACCCTAACCTTAACCAGCATTTTAACGACGTTAGACAACGAGATTGAAGTAAAACAAACGCACATGTGTAGATTCATTCCAAACGGTTCTCATGTTTCCGATCTCGTAATTTAAGGACGCGTCGGGTGCACGGAAGTGTAATATATCAACGATTTGTCACCTAGTGTAAAATGTTACGCTTTGGGAGTGAGAACGTGTTGGTAACAGAATTCTATTTGGAACGATTTATTTTTTGTGTGAAGACTTTGAAGTCGAGTGTCTGGCTGCATTGTTACACCACAGAAACAAAAGTATGGGCCTAATCTTTGAAATCAGTGCTTTCAATCCACTTGCTGCAGGTGCATAAAATCACACAGCAAGTCTGCCTTTACAGAAAGAATGGATTGTTCTATGCTGTAATGGGATCCCGTTGCAACAAGTCAGGTCATGAAATTTCCTCCTTCCTAGACATTCCACAATCAACTTAGTGGGAAAGGAAACAGTAAAGTACATAAGATTCATCAATGCAATTAAAACAATTTGAAATTAAAAACATTTACATGTTACAGGTACAGTTGGTTCAATCATTCAGGGCTTCTGGAGTGATGAATCTAAATCTGAAGTTGTTGTCAACATGTATGGAGGAGGTCAGCAGAGAGTCTACAGGCATCTATAAAATACAGTGGAAGCTGTCATTGTTTCAGGCTACGTCTCAGCCTGGGGAGTTTGGCAAAACACTGAATGCCATCAGATTTGGAGCCACCATGCAACACGGAAACATGGAAAGTGTCATATTGCAGGTTCACTGTTCAGCATGAAAACGATCACAAATACACTGACATGGATAGCTGATAGAAAATCACTCACTGCAACATTATCAGTTAGACTGGCCTCCTACGAGCCCAGGCCCCAACCTTATTGAAGGATTAAGTTGGGATCCACTGGACAGGCAATGAAAACAAAAGCTGGAAAACTTTGGGATGCCCTTCAAAAAGCCTGGAAAACTCAGTTCAATTCAGTTTTATTTATGTAGCAAACGTTCGTAACAACAGTTCCCTGAAAGCTCAATAAAATTGTCCGAACGATGCTTTTGCCTGTTCTAGTGTGTTTCCATGTAGGGTTTCACATGTTAAAGCACTGCACCTCTTTCCCATTTTCCTAACCAAATATAAAGACAGGTGGGGGCTGATATGTAATGTAAAATGAGTAAAACAAAGCTTGTCTTTAAAAATGTAAATGTATGATATTTATGGGCCCGACGTAGCTTTCAACTTTTTGAATTTTTCGCTGAGGCAGACTTTCTAAACTGAACAGGTGTTATTTCCCACTCTTTATGATGCTTCAGTATTTGACTGACATCCAACACAAATATTTTTCAAGGCTCTCTCCAGCTTCTTTCTGTTGCAAGGGAAGGTTAAAGAAATAAAAGGCTGGCTTCCACATTAGTGCATATCTGTCTCTGTGTGTGCAAGAAAATATCAGCTAAAGACCAAATAAAGAAATAAGCACATACTTTGTTAAAAGGAGAAGTGGAGATAGTAATATCTTAAGACGTTTTACTGAGTATGGATTAATTAGCTTGGACCTCATCTACACTGGGAAAGGAGGAGCACACAGACCTGCAGTCATTACCCGAGCCTACGTCGTGCTGTTTCTGATCATGTTTAGATGATGCATATATAAGGAGATGACTAGTTCTCTGTTTCTCTTACACACATGTCTCTTTCTCACCTTCTTTCCTTCCAGGTATTTTTCCTCTTGATTTCTCCCCTTTCGCGGCCCCTCCTGGTGTAGTCTGAGTAACTGTGATAGTCTGAAGATAGGAACTATCTTCAGACTATCACAGTCTGTTTCCTATCAAACTCCCAACTATGACCAACTCAATAAGGGGCCATTGCCCAGTCAAAACAACTCAGCATCTGGTGCTCGTCACTATCCACAGGCAAACATATCTTGGATCAGCTGCAGCCAGACTATTAGCTTCATGCTAATACTAGCACAAACATGTGGAGAGACACCAGGAGAAGCTCTGTCATCAAATGGATTTTATCGAGAAATACGTTTCAATCAAATTTTAAACAGAAAGAAGCTGTCATCAGTGAGGTGTAGTAGCCTTTGTTTCTCTACAGTTGTGACAAGAGTCCAAAGTTTTGGATCTAAGCAGCTTTTTTTTCTGTGCTGTGTCTCAGTTTCCAGTTTAAAAACATCCAACCGAGCCAATCCTATCACATCAGCTACAGAAACACACTGGGGGCAGGGACTTTATCAGATAAGAGTGATAAAGCCATGCCCAGAATTGCTATTACAATCAAATACCTGCTAAATGATATTTGATTGTTGTAGCAATCAATTAATAAAGAGACATTTTTGGTCTAAAGTACAGGTATTTGGGTCCTGTAGTGTTATTGGGACATTTAAACATTTTGTTTAGTCACACTGCTTGTATAAGAACTAGAAAGGATGTGACAACGTATTCTGAAGAACAAAATAAAAGTCCCATTTTAAATGTGTGTGTTTGACACAGTCAAACAAGAAAACAGCAGTCATCGTTATATTTACCACTTGTCATTTAGAGATTAGTGACCTTTCGCCACACTCCCAAATCTACATGTTCTCTTTTGTGTTAATACAATCCGTCAGCCGCTCTGTGACAGCAGATTAATGTTCAGGTACAGAGGCTTGGAAATAAAAACATACAAGGAGAAAGCACGACTAACTTCCACCAAGCCTGTTACCCTGGGAGTCGCTCCACAGTCATCCAAATAACCAGCTGCAGCTCACATGCTGAATCCAAAATGAGTGCATGTCTTTAAAAAAAGTCTAAAGTCTCTTTACCATATGTTACGGCTAAGTACAACCGAGCAGCATACTCCTCTTCCTCCTCCTCTTCCTCTGAGTTAGGCTCAGGTATGTTGGCTAACAGCGGGTTGTCGTGGGGATTAGCTGACTGTGGATGTGATTGGTCAATGACAGATGGGCAGGAGGGGGAGGGCATGGGAGAACCTATGAAAGACCACATGAAAGAAAAAAGGATGATGAATGTGGAGAATGAACAAAAGTAACATCTTTGAAAAAGAAACGGCTGAACAATGAAGTATGGTGACGCTCGCTGATGCTGTGTTACACACACAAAACACACTGACAGGTGTGTGTCTTTGTACTACACAGTAAAACAATAATACAAGTGATCTTAAAATTCATCAGTTCTGTTGTAAGAATATGTGAGCAGCAACAATTAAAGAGCTCATGTGCAGCATCGCTTCACTGAGGTGATTAAACAGGATGGTCAGGCTCAGCACCACGTAACAAAGGCTCCAGTGCTGCGCCTGCTCGAGACCAGTCTCAAAACCAGCTGTGCATCCGTTTGGTAACTTTGGCATTTAGTGACTTCTGCTTGGGTGTGTACACATTAGTGTTTGGAGGTCTGTCTGTGTGTTTCATTCAAACAGAGAACTCGTCCACATTTGGAATCCATTCAAACGTGTATTTAAAACAACAAAAGCACCCTTCATTAAAACATTTCTGGCTATTTACTTATGTGCGATCTCGAGACATCGTGTGATCTATTTTTCGTCGATCTAAAGCCCCCAAAAAATCGTGATTTCTTCTCATTCTTTCATGCAAACGTCGCCTGTTCGCACATAGCCCCCCACGACCCTACTGATCTTAGAGTCAATAATATTCTCATTTTATGCAAAATCGTGCAGCCCTACCTGTCATTGAGTCAAATAAG